CTCTGTACTCTATAAAACCCTGTGTTGGAAAAGTCTGGGTGGTGGCAAAGCAGTAGCACCGGCCAGCAACCCCCCGTTCAGCTGGTCTAAAGGCTGGATGGGACTTAGCGGGACTTCACCACCACTGGCAGCCGGTGTGACAGTGAACTTCACCAGGTGGCCGCCATCAGTGTGCACATAAATCCTAATAAACCCATGTCTTTCACAGCCAGTCCTCCAGGTTATATCTTTGGAATCCACAAACAATATGCCGAGGTTTTCTGGGACCTCGGCACTTTGCATAATAGGGAGTAAAATGAGGAAGGAGTTTTGAAATTAAAAAAAGCAACGGCAGGTTGTTGCAATGCCCTAATGGGACCCACGAGTTTACTTATGGAAACAGGGTTAGCTAGATAATCTTAATAACAAATATCCAATGTGGTCCCCCATTTTCTTCTGAGGCCAGCGGCCGGGGTTTATCATTATAGATGAGGTAACTCAGGCCTCAAGGAGACAGACAGGGACTTATAAATGCCGCTTTCTAAAACCTACTGTCTGGGCCCAGGGTCATCCCATGGACTGAGAGGTCCCAGTTTGATTTCTGGTCATAGCACATGCCAGACGCAATCCCCAGTAGGGGGCGTGCAGGAGGGAGCCAATAGGTTTCTCTCACTTTGATGTATCTACCTCTCTCTCCAAAAGAAAAAAAATCAATAAAGACATATTCTAAAACACACTGCCTAGGAGATGCAGGTGGGACCTGGGAACCCGCAGTTCCGGGAAACGTCCCAGGTCGGGATGGCTAATCAGCAGGTCAGGGAGGTTATAGATAGACAAGCACACAGACAGCAGGAGAGCCCAGGTTTTCCAATTCAGCAGTTCTCAACAGTGGTGATTTGGCCCCAGTGGGCTTTTGGCAACATCTGGAGACATTCTGGGTTGTCACAACTATGGGGAGCTCCTGGCATCTGGTGGGTGGAGGCCAGCAAAGCTTCTTAACATCCCACGGTGCATAGGATAGTCTTCAACGCAAAGAATTATCTAGCCCAAATTTCAGTATTGCTGAGGACAAGAAATCTGACAATCTGGCTGCTTAATAATGACTTGCTTCAGTGCCCGAGCCCCCAAATCTTGCGGTGGCCTGACCAAGGGCACCAGCCCACGGGCCATGCCTGGGGCCCCTCCCAAATCTTCTCTTGAGAAGCTTCCTTGGTGCTGCCCTAGTTTCCCAGGCACCATTAAGCTTGTCTGGGGTGAATGTGAGGGCCTGTGCAGAATGACAGGTGCCCATAAGGGTGGCAGAGGACACTAACCCAGCCAGCCCAGAGAAAGGAAGTGGGAGGGGCAGGTGAGGTGACCTCTGCTATAAACATGGCATTTTGACTGCCAACCTGACTGGTAGGTGGGTGCAGACACCTAGCTAAGTAGCTTGCACCATCATAGAACCATCTACCAAGGCAACCGCCTACAATGGGTCATTGTGGCAACCCCAGCAACCTCAGCAAGGCGGCATTCTCTAAAGACAGGGATATTCCTAAGGGCACATAGTCCTCTGAGGACTGCACAACCAGGTCTGAACCTGTCCATCTTCCCCTTTCCTGAGCCTGTTGGGCCACTCTGGCTACTCATACATTCTAGAAGCCTTCATCCATTAAGGTAGGCAAGGGGCAGGCTGCTCTGCGGGGGCTGGCACCTTAGACACTTGTGTCCACCTCTTTGGCCTCCAAGGCCCTCCATAACCTGCCCTCAGCCACCCGTGTGGCCTTCTTTGTCTTTAGTAACAATTTTTGTCTTCAAGACTATCTTGTTGATAGCATAGTCACTCCAGCTCTCCTCTGGTTACTGCTTACATGGAATATCTTTTTTCTTTTTTTTTATTCCCACCCGAGAACATTTTTCCTTTTTTTTTACAGATAGAGTGGGAGGAAGAGAGAGAGAGAAACATCTACGTGAAAGGGACACACCCAGTGGCTGCCACCTGCCACCAGGGCCGGGGACAAACTGCAACCGAGATACGTGCCCTTAGCGGGAACCGAACCCGGGTCTCTCTAGACCGCAGGCCAACGCTCTAACCGCTGAGCCAAACCGACAAGGGCTACATGGAATATCTTTATCCATCCTTTTACTTTCAACCCACTTATGCCCTTGAATCTAAAATGTATCTCGCAGACAGCATATAGGTAGAATTTTTTTTTTTAAAGATTGATTCTGCCAATCTCTGTTTTGTGTGTGTGTGTGGTAAAATACACATAACAATATTAAAGTGAACAATTCAGTGGCATTTAGTACCTTCACGAGGCTTGCAACCATCACCTCTAAGTAGATTTTTTTTTTTTTTTTTTGGTACGTGCCCCTCGCGGGAACCAAATCCAGGATTCTCTGGTCCACAGGCTGACGCTCCAACCGCTGAGCCAAACCAGCCAGGGCTAAGTAGAATATTTTCATTACCCCCAAAGAAACCCTAGGTCCATCAGCAGTCACTCCCATTGCCCCCAGCCCCCAGTCACTAATCCACTTTCTATCTCTAAGTCCAGACTTTATATATAAACAGAACCATACAGTATGTGGTCTTTGTGTCTGTCTGCTCCTACTTAGCACAATGACTTACAGCTCATCCATGTTGTCAACTTGCCTCTGTCGCCTGGCATCAGCCTACCTTGGCCAGACTGAACTCTCTCTTCTCCCCCAGACACCAGGCGTGTTCTCACAGGGCTCTGGGTGCGGGACTTTGCTAAGGTCCCATCCATCTCAGTTTCCCTGCTCAGTTCAAATCTCTGAATAATAATAGTGATCACTGATTGGGCACCTAGAATATGTGGAGCTCTGTGCTAAGCACTTCCCATGCATTACCTCGTTTAGTTTTCATTCTTGCAGCAATCTTGGGAGGAGGAAATCATCACCATTTCCCCACCCTTTCCAGTTGGAAGTGGCAGCATGCTCAGCGCCCCACAGACCTATGCCTTTCACTGACCCACTCGGCCCAAGACTGGCCAAGTCTCCATTTTCTAACACTGTGACACCGAGTGGGTTCCTCGACCTCTCTGTGCCTCAATTTCCTTACCTGTAAATTTGGGATAATAATAGCACCTGCCTCACAGAGTTGCTATGAAGATTAAAAGAGCTTCTGGGGCCCGGCCAGTGTGGTTCAGTGGTTGAGCATCTACCCATGCACCAAGAGGTTGCCGGTTCGATTCCTGGTCAGGGCACATGCCCAGGTTGTGGGCCCGATCCCCAGTGGGGGGCATGCAGGAGGCTGCTGGTCGATGTTCTCTCTCATCGATGTTTCTATCTCTCTCTCCCTCTCCCTTCCTCTCTCTCTAAAATCAATAAAGAAAAAAAAAAAGAGCTGCTGGGCTAGCGTGGCTCCTTGGTTGAGCGTCGACTTATGCACCAACGGGTCACTGGTTCGATTCCGGTTGGGGCACATGCCAAGTTGCAGGCTTGATCCCCAGTAGGGGGCATGCAGGATCGATGTTGACACTTCTCTCTCATATATGTTTCTATTTCTCCCTCTCACTTCCTCTATCTCTAAAAAACCAATTAAAATATTGTTTTGAAAAAGATTAAAGGCGCTAACAGACATAAGTATCTAGCTTACCTGGCAAATGATGGGCCTTTACAATCTGTGCCCACCATATATGACGTGCTGGCTTACTCTCTGACTGAGTGGTCTTGGCTTGTGGCCTCCCTACCACTCGTCCTGCCTCCCTGGCTGACCCCTGTCCCCTGAGGTCAGACCAGCCTACTCTAGGGTGGCTTAGCTCATATCCAGGCCCTCTCATGGTCTACCTTCTGAATAAGAACAAATGCTTCTCCCTAGTACCTGATATACCCAAGGTAGAACGCTAGACCACTTTCCAGCTCATTGTCCACGACAGCCAATATGACTGTCCCTTATGCCCCAAGTGGGCCCTGTACTGGCTCCTGCCACTTGCTCCTCTAGAAAGGGCCCCTTCCAATCTTTGTCTGCTGAACTTCAATCCAGCCTCAGCGCTCTGACTCCTCAGACCTGACTCCTTCCCCTAAAGCTCTGCTCTCAGTTCTCTTTACGTCATGTGCCTCGGAACGGCTGATAGAGAAGGGATGCTCTCTATCAGCCTCTGTACATCCATCCTCCATGCCCACCATGCCCTTGGTGCCTTGGAGGTTGACCCACGGGTGCTGAGCTCACCATACCTCTGGCCCTCCCGTTTAGCCAATGGGAAAATGACAGGAGAGAGGGCAGAGTATTTATTGCCCAAGATGAAAAGTCTTCCCCAAGACTATAGGCCCTGATGGCTAAGCATGTGCTGCGCAGGGAGGCAGGAGACTGCATGGTCCAGGCGGGCCCAGGGTCAGAGGCCTCAGCTCCTCTCCTGCTCTGCTGTCACTGGCTGCAGCGCCATCAGCAAATCACTGAACATTTGTGAGTGTCAATTTCTCACCTATTAAGTAGGGATCATCCTCTTCCCTGTTGTTTGCATGGCTTGTTCCTATAGATTTTTCTCACTTGCTTTCTGTCTGTCACCCTTGCTAAAACATGAACTCCTATTCCCCATGACTCCCATGGTGCCTCCCTCATAGGAGGTCCTCAATTATTACCATTTTTTATTGAGGTGAGGTTCACATAACACACAATGAACTATTTTAAAGAGAATAATTCGGTGGCATTTAGTGCATTCACAATCAACCACTGCCTCCATCTAGTGCCAAAACATTTCCATCAGCCTAAAAGGAGATCCTACAACCGGTAAGCAGTCACTCCCCATCCCCCTCTGTACAGCCTGGCAACCACCAATCTGCTTTCTGTCTCTATGGGTGTGCCCATTCTGGACTTCTCATATAAATGGAATCACACAATATGTGGTCTTTGTGTCTGGCTTCTTTCCTCGACACTTGATGATGAATGCAAGCTTGGAGCTTTGGTTCGGCCTCACTCCTGAATGGGAAGGGCCCATCACCAGGGGACACGGGGAATAGTGAGTGTGATACCTGGGAGGAGAGCAAGGGGTCAAGAAGCGTCTAAAGGCCAGGGGGGTTACCTTTTCTATGGCTTCTTCATTGCCCTCTGCCATCTTCCGGAGCTTTATCAGCTGCCACAGGTCCTGGGCAGGCCGGCCAGTCCCTTGGCTGGCCTCCAGCAGCATAGAGGTAGAGGGCAGTGCCTGCATCGTGACCAGCTGGCTCTCTATTTTGTCGATGCGGGTCACTACATGGTCGAAGATGTTATTCAGCCTCTTCATGGGGTTGAGGATGGGCTGAGCGTCTCCCTCCCGGGGCATGAACACAACCTGCGAGGACTGGAGGAAGTCCTCGTCCCCCGAGAGGACCTTCTTGAGCTCAGCCATGTGGATGTGCTCCAGGATGCCTTGGAGCAGAAGGTGCAGGGCCTGGAAGTTCAACACACCGCACTGCGGGACGGCAATGTTGACCAGCTCAGAGAATGTGACCGAGAAGCTCATTCTGCCAGGGCAGTTGGCCGGGATGGGGTTCCGAGTGTCCCTGGGGAAGGTGGTGGCTTTCGGTGGACTCACGAGCTGCACAGAAAATGCTCAGAAGTCCAGGGAGGCTGTAAGTCACAGCAGTCAGAGAGAAAATGGCCTCTGTCTTGGCCAGAGCTCAGATGAGAGTTGCTAGGCTACCAAAGAACATGGCAGTGGGCATGCTTCCGAGGGTCTGGAGTGGGGCAGAGCGGGTGCTCAGTTAATAGCTGATGAATGTTTGAACAAAAGCTGGCCTTTTCATTCAAGCCATTTGATTACGCAAGACCCAGTGACCCTTTCCAGGAAGAATAACGGGAAGGTGATGGAGGGCAGCTGGCTCCTTGGAAGTCTCTAGAATCAGAACAGGAGACAGAATTCTTGGAGTTAGGAAAGCCCGGGTTTCAGGAACAGAATCTGAAGAGTTAAGCTGATTGCCGGACAATGGCCAAAGGCCAGCAGGTGTTCCAGTTTCCGGAGGAGGAAGGTGAAAAGTGCGTGAGGCAGCACTTTTGTCAGGTCTGATCCTGCATGTCCCTGCCCTCCTGGGGACATGAATGACCTCCCGAACTGTGCTGTGCTCCCTCCTTGAGCTGGGGCTCACCAAGACCCAGTGCTCTAAGAGCCTTAAGGACATGGCCGTGAGCCAGCTGCCACAGAACTTGAAGGCTGCCTGGTCCCCTATGTTCAGGCCCTGCCATTGTCAGTTCTCATGCAAGAAAATGGCAGCTTGCTGGTCCTGGTCTCCTGGAGAAGTCTGCAGGGAAGCCCCAATTCAACCCCTGGAGCCCCGACTCCTGGTCCACCCCAAAATTCCTTGTGGATAGTATACACTGCTTATACACAGCACACAGCATGAGCCCCGCTCAGGGGTTGAGTTGGCGTCCCCGTAGAAGATACAGCGATGTCTCTCCACTTTGGGTTCATGTGCATTACTCTTTCTCAGCAGTTGTGTGACCTTGTATAAATGACTTAACCTCTCTGAATCTCAGCTTCCCTTCCTGCAAGATGGGAAATAAAACCTTCTATGTGGAGTTGCCATGCAGGGGTGGGGGCAGTATGCAGGACTGTAAAAATAACACAAGTAGCCCAACTGGTGTGGTTCAATGGTTGAGCGTTGACCCACGCACCAAGAGGTCACTAGGTCGACTCCCAGTCAGGGCACATACCCAGTTTATGAGCCGGGAACTGAACCGTGACGGAGGTACATGCCCTTGACTGGAATCGAACCCGAGACTGTTCAGGCCGTGGGCCAATGCTCCAATCGCTGAGCCAAACCGGCCAGGGCTAATCACAGGTTCTTGACCTCATGTCAACAAATGCTTCTGCTGAGGCCATTACTACTCTATCAGCAAAACCTAGCTCTTAAGGAATAACAGAAGCTGATGCTGGGACTCTCAGTGCTGCAGTACTCTGTTCTCTTCAGACACTCTCCAGAACTGCTCAGTTCCGCTGAAGAATTCACCCACCTTGAGAGGCAAAAAAAAGGCTCACATTGTAATAAAGGTATACATCCCCAGTTCTGTCTGGGCTCTACTTAGATACTATTTACTTATTTATTTGTAACAACTTTACCTATAACTCTCATACCATACAATTCACCCATGTAAAGTATACAATTCAATAACTTTTATTATATTCACAGAGCTGTGCAACCATTACTACAATCAACTTACAAACATTTTCATCCTCCTAAAAAGAAATACTGCCCCCGTTCCCAGTCACTCTCTAGTTCCTCAACCCCCAGTCCCCAGCAATCACTCATCTGCTTTCTGTTTCTATGGATTTGTCTATTCTGGACATTTCACATGACTGAATATGTGCCCTTCTGTAACGGATTTCTTTTATTTAGCACAATGTTTTCCAGGTTCATCCAGATTGTAGCATATGTCAGCACTTCATTCCTTTTTATGGCTGAATAATATTCCATTTATAGATAGACTAGTTTGCTTATCCATTCATCCACTGATGGATATTTGGGCTGTTTCTACATTTTAACTATTGTGAATGATGCTGCTATGAACAGTTGTGTACAAGTTTTTGTTTGAATACAAGTTTTCAGTGATTTTAGGTCTCTACCTAGGAGTGAAATTGCTGGGTCATATAGTAACTAACTCTATGTTAACCCTCCGAGGAACTGCCAAACTGTTTTCCACAGCAATGCATTATTTTACATTCCCACCCACAGCAAATGAAGGCTCTAATTTCTCCCCATCGTCACCAACACTTGTTATTGTCTGACTTTTTTTTTTTTTTATCCTCACCCGAGGACATTTTTCCATTTTTTGTTCAGGTAGAGTGGGAGGGAGAGAGAGGAACAGAGAGAGAGAGAAACATCGACGTGAAAGGGACACATCGAGTGGTTGCCACCCTCACAACCCAACCAGGGCCGGGGACAAACTGCAACCGAGGTACGTGCCCTTAGCGGGAACCGAACCCGGGTCTCTCTGGACCGCAGGCCGACGCTCTAACCGCTGAGCCAAACCGGCCAGGGCTTGTCTGACTTTTTTTATTACAGCCATCCTGGGGATGGACAATGTGTTCTGTCCAGTCTTAAGTAGCAGCTACTATTCTGTGAGACTTGACAACTCATCCGGCAAGACACCAGAGGGTCTAACCAAAGCCCAGCTAGGACATCGTTCTCTGAACACCCTCCTGACCAGCAACAACAGGCAAAGCTCTGGATATAGTAGATGAGTGTTCTGAGGACTGACTTTGTCCGTCTTCAGCTATGGGGAGGTGGGGACGGGGAGCAGCTCCTGACAATGGGAACTGGCCTAGCACCATAGGCCCTGTAGTTGACTGGGAGGGCCCTGGTACACTCCAGTGGTTACAAACAACTTTACAGAACACCAGACCCATAGGGCCACTCTGCTCCCATGAAAGGCCAAGACAAACCAGACCAGTTGTAATTAGGTCTGGACTTGGACAAAAATAAAAATACTGTCCAAATCACAAACATGACCAGATAGCCCCTTATCCTGGCTAACATGAGTGACCACTTCTTCTTGACCAACTAAAATTTTGGCTGTTTCATTCCTTGTGCCTTCTTGATAAGGTTGATTAAAATATCCAGTCACAGAAGTAGCCCTGCTTCCTGGCAGTACCCAATCCAGAACACTCCCCCCAGTCACATGGGCCCAAGTCCTATCATAAATCCCTCTCACTTAACCCTCTTACGAGATGCCCCTGGATTCCCCACTGTGTCATATAACTTAACAATTTAAGGGCTGCCTTGACCTCTGTGAGCTTCACAGAGCCTTTGGGTTCCCTTGTTCCTCTTAAACATTCCCTCACCTCCACCCAACAAGAAAGGCTCTTCACCCAGCTGTTTCCCCAACCAGCCCAGCCAACTGCACTCTACTCTGGCCTCATCCGAGGGGCTTCAGTTCCCTGCCACCTTCTGAAACTATTCAAACAAGTCAATCACCTCCTCCTGCAGGAACAGGTGGGTGCCCCACCCCTGTTACTACAAAGGCTGCAGCCCACAGTCCCAGCTGGTTTGGTCTGTCCCTGAGTGCCGCCCTGAGCAGCCCAGCCCTGCATGTGGTGTCCTCTCCCCGCCTCTCTGAGTGCACGTGGCTGATAACTGCTGATGATCTCAGCTGTCCAGTGCTGGGTGTCGTACTGCTAAGGCAGGGGCCCTCCCACACCAGTGGGGTGAAAGGGGTGTTTCAGAATACGCATGGCGTGCATTCTCCCTTGTGGCACCAAGTCAGTAAACCCAACTTTGCTCAACTACAGACTAAGGATTGTGGAGCTGTAGTATTATGGAACCATAAGCAAGACTTTCCTACTTCCGAATGGGAAGATCAGGGAAATGGGTAGTTTAGTACTGTCACACAGCCGAGAAGGGGGCCTGAAGCCAGATCAAGGGGCTCCCCATGGGCCTTACAAAGAAATGTGAGCAACGGAATGTAAAGTAATTCTTGGTCACGGGGGACTAGGCTGGGTACGTGGAAGTAATGGCTCTGTCTTTCTGGAGGGACGGCCAGTATCTAAAACCATTTCGGGAGTCCTGTGGGAGGTGGAGTGTCAGTTACTAGTTGCCTTTGGGAAAGTTGTATACATTGCAGGTGATTTGATGCTTACTCTGAAGCTAGAGCACCAGCATTTAAAAAAATGCCCCAGTTGGTGCTGACAGCTCCCGGGGCCCAAGGACAGTGTTCCTCCAAAATCTAAGAAAGGGAAGCTACCACCCTGTCCGGTTTGGCTCAGAGGTTAGAGTGTCGGTCCTCAGACCTAAGGTTGCAGGTTTGATTCCAGTCAAGGGCATGTACCTAGGTTGCAGGTTCGATCCCTGGCCCAGTCGGGGTCATGTGGGAGGCAACCAATTGATGTGTCTCTCTCACATCGATATTTCTCTCTCTGTCTCTCCCTCCCTCCTTCCCACTCTCTCTAAAAATCAATGGAAAAATATCCTTGGGTGAGGATTAACAAAAAAAAGAAAGGGAAGCTACTAAGTCAGACTAGGTTGCAACAATTCAGAGGGGTGAAAATTCAGCTCAAAAAGCCCAATCTGGTCTTAGGCCTTCAAGGCAAGGGCTACAAGCCAACAAGATACTGATATGTTTCCTGGCACCGGGCACCTGGCACTGGGCCTCTGGCACTGGGCCTGACACTGACTCTTCAGTCTTTCCTTCAACCAATGTTTACTGAGCACCTACTAGGTGCTGTTCGTAAGCACAGAGGAAACCATAGCGAGCAGGTCAGAGATGGTCTCTGATCTCACAGAACGTGCAGGCTAGTAGGGAAGATGGACACTTATTTTACAACCAAGAAACAAAATAGCTTCAGGCAGTGCTAGGAATCAGAAAGATATAAAACAGGACAAAATGAGAATGGGGGATGGGCACTAATTTAATAGGTTTGTTGGAGTAGCCAGCCTCCAAGTGGCTCCCAAAGGTACCCCTGGGACTCACACCCTTGTGGTCTGCTCCCATCCTATCCTGGCTGGTTGTGTACCTTATTCCACCAATGCATCTATGTACTCCTT